GAACCAATAGATCCGTTTTGGAAGAAGTGCAGCCAGAGTGCTCCTTAGAGGCCAAGATGGCCAAACTTCATCTCTCATACTTCAGACATATTGTCAGGAAGGACCAATCACTGGAGAAGGATATCATGTTTGGTAAGGTAGAAAGTCAGAGAAAAAGAGGAAGTCCCCCAACGAGATGGATTGGCCAAATGGGCAGCATCAATGGACTGAAGCGTGGGTTGGCTCAGGATCGGGCAGTGTTTCGTTCTGCTGTGCATAAGGTTGCTATGGGTTGGTACCGACTTGATGGCACCTAACAGCAACAAACACTGCTCATACCACATACCAAAAAACCAAACCCACTGCCATCAAGTCGATTCCAATTTGTAGCAACCCAATAGGACAGAGTAAAACTACTCTTTAGGGTTTTTGCAACGGTAAATCTTTACAGTAGCAGAGAGCCTCATTCTTCTCCCACATACCACATAAGAGATCCACAAGAAATATCTGTCTGATGAATGAATGAAAGTTTTTCCCCAAAGTTACAGTTTCTCTCAAATCTCGTCACTGTAAGATCAGTTGCCTACTTTCAACCAATAAAATTGGAAATTCATTCTTTAATTATAGGCAACAAAGAAGCCCAGTGAGTGTTTCATAATTTGAATGAATGTGTGCAGTGGTTATTTATATATTTGACCTGAAACTTTTCAGGGTGTTTGCTAGCTATGTGACCTTGGGTATAACCTTTCTGTATCTCCTTTTCCTCATCTGTAAAATGGCATTGACAGTGGCATTTTAGGATTACTGGTAGGATTAAATTTGGTAAATTATATACAGTCTTTAATTCTTGACACAGTATAACTCAGTGTTGGCTTTTCAAAAGTATTAGTATTACTTTTGAATTAACTAAAGTGAAAAGAAAGTATGAAAGTATATATATGTATGTTGTTGTTAGGTGCCGTCAAGTCTATTCCAACCCATAGCGACCCTATATAGGATTTCCGAGGAGCAGCTGGTGAGCGTGATCCACCAACCTTGCAATTCAAATGGCATATGTATATGATATATGGAGTCCTGGTGTGGCGCTGTGGGTTAATGCACCAGACTGCAGAGCTGTTTGAACTGCAAGGTTGGCAGTTCATGCTCATCAGCTGCTCCTCGGAAACCCTATCCAGGGTCGCTATGGGTCGGAATTGACTCGATGGCACCTAACAACAACAACATATGATTTCTACCTATCACCACCCCCCCCCCCAAAAAAAAAAAACTTAAAAAACTTTGTAAGATTTATGTATCTATGTTTTATTTTACGGGGGTAGGGATGGGGTAGGGGAGATGAGGCAGAACATAAATACAAAATAGTTCAAATGTAAAAGTTTCAGGTCTTATAGAATAAAATTTCTTTGTTTCTTTTTTTTTTTAGAACTGGAATGATTACAGTCACCAGGCTTTTGTGTGTGATCACTTGTCAGATCTCCTTGAGCTGCTTTTAGAGCCAGAACAACTCACTGCATCCTTTCATTCGACCCATACTAGTCTAGTGTCTCGTGAAGCTGCTGTGGCACTCAGCTTTCTTATTGAAGGTACAGTGAGCAGAGCCAGGAAGATCTACCCATTTCATGAACTTGCACTGTGGCAGCCACTGCATGCAGCAAGTGGCTTCTCAAAGATCTCTAAGACCTTCTCTTTCTACAAGCTAGAAGCCTGGCTGAGAGCCTCTTTAACTGGAAATCCATTTGGTACCTCCGCTTGTCTCAAGTCTGGAAAGAAATTAGCATGGGCTCACCCAGGTATTTAAAATTTTTTTAATGCATATTAAATGACAAGGTAATGAACTTGATGTTTTGTCGTGTATTAATGATCATGTATCTTCTGTAACCTATATATATACATGTATGTATGTGTGTGTGTGTATATATATATGTGTATATATATATATATATATATATATAGTTAAGTGCCATCAAGTTGATTTCCAAGGAGTGGCTGGTGGATTTGAACCACCAACCTTGTAGTTTAAACTGATCTTGTGGTCCAGTCCTTATCCTCCTATAATACCACACCAGGTCTCCATATATATTTGTTGTTGTTGTTGTTTGTTTGTTTTTTTGTTAAGTGCTGTCGAGAAGGTTCCAATTCATAGCAACTTTATATAGGGTTTCCAAGGAGCTGCTGGTAGTTGTGGTGTTTGCAGTCCAGTGCGATCCTGCAGTGCCACACCAGGAGTCATTTATATGTATATATATATGTGTGTGTGTGTGTGTGTGTGTGTGTGTGTATATATAAAGAGAGAGAGAGTCTTGGATCAAAAAGGTTGGTTCACACTCACTAGCTGCTCTTTGGAAACGCTGTACTGGGTTGCTATGAGTTGGAAGTGATTTGATGGCACTTAGCTTTCTGCTTCCGTAAAGATTTACAGCCTTGGAAACCCTATGCAGGATTGCCATGAGTCGAACCGACTCCATGATACTTAACAACAACAAAACAACTTACGTGTATATGTATGTATATATATATTTACTACTTTAAAAGAGAAAAAATGACTATCTCTCTTTTGTATATGACTTTCTCTGTCAAGGAAGCAACAGTCTCAGAGCTAATTTGTTGGTTAAGGTCCTTTTGGTTGCAGTTAACAGAAACTCAACTGTAGTTAGTCCTCTTTCCTCTCTGTTTTCTTCTCTGCCGCTCTCTCTTCCTCACTCTCATATGCTTCCTTGCTTGAGGCTCTCCTATTTTCTGTGCAGCACAGCAAAATTTGGCCATTCCACAGTAGCATCCTCAGAGAGCTGGTCTTTTTAAGCTACGTAGACACAAGCAGACTAGCTACTTCTATACTGGACATTTAAATTGACAGTAGAGAGACTTTGGCCTTGATTGCATTGGGTATCCACTTCTGATTTCCAGCTATGGCTACAGGGATAGACCCAGGTGCTGCATGACTGCTTGGGGTGTAAATTTTAAGAGTGCAGCCTTCAGGCACACATTGCAGTAATAGCTACACGGAGACACATGCCACACAGATTAATTGGGGGGTACAGTGATGCGCTGCACTAGAATTTACTACTATAACATCTGAATTTCAAAGATCAAAAGCAGTATTTCCCATAGAAATGATATAAAAAATTAGTTTTGCATTCAAATTTTCATAATTCTAAAAAGAGGGTAATTGTAGAGCATTTTAAAAATCTTCAGCAACCCAAAGTATTGTGGTCCAAGAATTCGCTATTGCACTGAAGTATTTCTGTAGTATGAAGAGCAACAGCTCTCAGTTATGTAAAATTCCTATTTTAACATATGTTGTTGTTAACATATGTTAACAACATAGTACATTCCAATTCATGGCAACCCTGTACAGGGTTTCCTCAAATCAGCTGGTGAGTGTGGCACTGTAGGATAAGCACTTGGATGCTAACTGCACAGTTGGTAGTTCAGACCTACCAGCTACTGTAACTGTAAGTTGGAACCAGCTCAATGGCATTTAAACAACAATAGTACCTACCCTAACAACTTTTGAAAACTTACTTGAATCAGTATGCCTTTATCAACATCAAAATCAAAAAGTGTTATTGAGTGAATTCCGACTCATATCAACCATATATAGAGTTTTCAAGAAGTGACTGGTGGGTTAGAACCATTGACCTTGCAGTTAGCAGTTTACTGCTTATCGTACAGTTCCACACCAGGATAGGCACTGCTATTGTTAATTGCTGTCGAGTCAGTTCCGACACATCGCAACTCTGTATCGGGTTTCCAAGGAGCAGCTGGTGGGTTTGAATTGCTGATCTTGTGGTGGGCTTACTCTACAGTGCCACACTAGACTCCACTTAGGCACTGGTGGTGGTGGTGATGTTTGTGTGCCACCAAGTCAGTTCCAAGTCATAGTGAGCCTGTATAGGGTTTCCAAAGCTGCAGATCTTTACAAGAACAGAGAGCCTCATCTTTCTCCTAAGGAGTGACTGGTAGATTTGAACTACTGACCTTGTGGTTAGCAGCTCAGCTCATAATCCACTACACTACCAGGGCTCCTTCCAGGTAAGCACTGTTGTTGTTAAGTGCCATCAAGTCAGTTCCAATCTATAGTGACCCTGTATAGGGTTTCCGAGAAGCGACTGGTGAGCTTGAACCACCAACCTTGCAGCCCAAACCCACTTTGCAGTCTAGTGCCTTAACCTACAGCACCACACCAGGACTCCCTCCAGGTAGGCACTAGTAGGATAATCAAGGATATCTGATCTCTACAGAGTATGGTAAAAAGTTAACAGTGATAAATAGTAGTATTACAAATGATTTTTTTTTCTTTTACTGTTTGTACTTAAATCTTTTTTTGTATAGTGACCATGTATTACTTATATAGTAAAAGAAAAATAGCATACTTAAGTGATCTTCCTTCATATTTAGTCATTTTCTTTACCAAGCATCCCTCTGACTTGCAGAGAAGTGCAGTCTAAGAGGCCATTCACATAATGATTGGTCTGTGTTAGGAGAGCAGTCTTACTTAATGGTGTCAGTGTATGCAAGGCTGTATGTGATAGAAAGCTGTGCCCTCAGTTATTAATGATATTGGGAGTGAAGACATGAACTCAAGTAGTTTGTGTGATAGTGTGACAAGTGAAGATACTTAAATTGGGCCAGTTCTGTTACTTACTAGCCATGTGACTTTAGGCACATTGCTTAATTTGAAGACTAGACATGATGAAAACTTAGATTTATAGACATTTTTTAATGAATTATAGGCTTCTAATTATGAGTCCTGGTTTGGTGCTGTAGGATAAGACACTGGACCCCAGTGTCGGTTTGAACTGCAAGATCAGTGGTTCAAATTCACCAGCAGCTTCTTGGAAACCCTATACAGGGTCACTGTGAGCCAGAACTCACTTGAAGGCACTTAACAACAACAACAAAATTTAGGAAATACTGCAGAAATGCAGCAAAGTACAGTGTCTAGTGTAGCAAATGCCTCTTTATCTAATAGCCAGATGTAA